CCCCTCCCCCCTCATGATGGACGACAATGATGCACGGCCCCCAGTCCCCGGCAGCCCCTCTATTCCTGTCTCTGATAGCAGGACAGGTAACGGAGGGGCAGGGGGTGCTAAGAATCCCCATAGCGATGCGATGGTAGCGATCACCGAATCGTTAGAGGCACATTGAATATCAATGTTAAGCTCGAAAGGTCACGTCTGATGAAGTCTACGCTCCGTCCTAGTGCTGCTCATATCGTGGACCCCGAAGCCTTCCAACTTCAACTACACAATCGCTTTCAGTGTCTAGCTGAATGCGAGTCTGTGGACGAAATAAACAACGAGTTTGTAGAAACAGCCCAAGCTATGGGGTCTAAGTTCTATAAGGCCACGCGCCGTATTAAATCTCAAAAGCTCTTAGACGAAACGCTCAAGTTGATGGCGGACCGGAGGGATATGAGACTGCAATCTTCAACCGATATGTCGGAATATGGTCGACTTAACAGACGAATTTCCAAATCGATGCGACGCGATGTATTAGGGAGGCAATAGAGCGGAACCAAGGCTCCAAAGTGTTTGCACGAAATTGTCTGCTGGGTCGAGTCAGATGACGAAGCTGAAGATCGACGACGGCAGGATCGTATCTTCAAAACCGGAGATTCTGTTTGAGCTTGAGAGGTTTTATGGACAGTTGTACACATCAACACAACAACCCGTTGAAAGCAATGCTCAGGACAAGGCACCGGGGAATGACGGAATCACTACTGAACTTTTGCGAGCGGGTGAAAAACCGGTACTCTTAGTCCTCCAGAAATTGTTCATTCTCGAGAGTACGACGCCAGAAGCGTGGCACAGAAGCGTGGTTGTGCTCTTCTTCAAAAAAGGTGACAAGACCTTGTTGAAGAATTATAGACCAATCTCGCTTCTGAGCCACGTTTATAAGCTGTTTTCGAGGGTCATTACGAATCGCCTCGAATGCCGTTTTGATGACTTCCAGCCTCCCGAACAAGCCGGTTTCCGAAAAAGCTTTAGCACCATAGACCACATACATACGCTGCGATAGATTATATAGATGACCGAGGAGTATAATCTGTCACTTTGCTTAGCATTTGTGGATTATGAGAAAGCCTTCGATTCAATCGAAACCTGGGCAATACTGCAGTCCCTCCAGCGATGCCAAATCGACTACAGGTACGTCGAAGTGTTGAAGCGTTTGTATAGTAACGCCACAATGTCGATTCGCTACCAGGAAGAGAGCACGAAACCAATCCAATTGCGCAGAGGCGTGAGACAGGGAGATGTCATTTCTTCGAAACTGTTCACGAATGCATTGGAGGACGTCTTCAAGCTCTTGGAATGGGACGAATACGGCATCAACACCATGGCGACCAATACATCACTCACCTTCGTTTCGCCGATGATATAGTCATCTTGGCAAGATCGATGGAGCACATCAGTACAATGCTTAGCGACCTGACTATGAGTTTCCAAACAGGTGGGTCTTAAAATGAACATGAACAAGACGAAAATCATGTCGAAAGTTGTCGATCACTACGTGTACCTTGGACAGACAATCCAGTTAGGTAGATCCAATTTCGACAAAGAGGTCGCTCAAAGAATCCAACTCGGCTGGGCAGCGTTCGGGAAGCTACGCGATATCTTCACGTCCAAATTACCACAGTACCTAAAGACGAAGGTGTATAACCAGTGTGTGTTGCCAGTGATGACCTATGGCACTGAAACGTGGTCCTTAACTGCTGGCCTCTTAGAGAAGCTCAGAGTCGCTCAGCAAGGCATGGAGAGAGCTATGTTAGGGGTTTCTTTGCGCGATAGGATCCGAAACGTGGATATTCGCCAAAGAACTAGAGTGACCGACATAGCTCGCAAAGTTTGTAAGCTGAAGTGGCAGTGGGCAGGTCACATCGCTCGACGAACCGATAACCGATGGGGACGAAAGATTCTCGAGTGGAGACCACGAACTGGAAGACGCAGCTTGGGTCGACCCCCGACTAGATGGACGGACGACATCGTCCGAGTCGCGGGCGGCAGCTGGATGCAGCTGGCGCAATGTCGTCCGTAGTGGCGTTCAAAGAGAGAGGCCTATGTTCAGCTGTGGACGTCTTCCGGCTGATGATGATGACTCCCATTGCTTTCAATAAACTAGGAACATCAGAACAAAAAACAAAGTCGTCATCTTCAGTGAAATCTTCAATAGGGAAAGCAATTCTATCTCTCGGTTACGATTTTATGAAATTCTTGATTCTGGAGTTAAAAGATTTCTTTGCTTTAATCGAGAAGCTAGAATCTCCGATGCTTTTTTAGAAAGACCAAGGTCTCTCACAAAAGCACTGAGGTTTTCTTGATTTAATCAAGATTTAATCAAGAAGACCTCAGGCTGAGGCTCAGAAGAAATATGTGGGTCAAAATCAGTTATCCCACTTTCATCACTCGAAGAAGAGCTTTTTACTTCTAAATCGGGATCATTTTGTCTAGGCGAAGAAGCTTGGGGTACGGCACATCGTCGGAGTACAGGACTGGTCGAGTAACAGATGGCAAGTTAGAGTAAAACCATTTCGACCGGGTTTCTTTTATTAATACCATTAATATCAACCACACAAAAATAGGTTCCCGCCACATCATTGGTGTTTGATACTTACAATGGGATCTTATCTCAACGACTCCACACATATTTATATACCATATCAAGGACCCAGTACTTGTCACGTGTGTCCAAAGTGAATCCAAAGTAATTAAAATACACCTGTTTTATGAACTCCGACACAGTTACTCTACAATAGGCTAGTTAACAACTTTTTTTTATTTCATAAATAAATAGTCCATTAACATCTGAGAAATAATGTCGAAGTAACAGCATGTCTGCGATTAATAGTTTCGGAGATACGGTGCTGTATTTGTAGAACTGCTGCTAGTTGGCCGAAAACGCTCCCTACAAATTCAAAGCACTCAGTGACGTCACACGGTGCAACAGTAGCGAAAAATGTATGGGCGTCTGGATAATTTTTGTAATATCTTTGTTATTTGTGCGTTTATGTTGATTATAGCTGTTATTATAAAAGTTGTAACATTTTTTATATCTAATTTAATGCCTTATGTATTTAAGCAAATTTTTGTAATAGATTTTCTACACTTTTTTCAAGTTTTCAAAGCGTAATATTTTCCAAATCAGTGACTGAAAATTTGTTTTGTTAAACGTTTATAAGTTAAAATGGTTCATATTTTTCGAAGATAAATATCAACCATTTTTATCTTCGAAAAATATGAACCATTTTACAGCCAACCAACAAGCCTATTTTCGAATGTATATTCACCACAGATGTTACAAAAGAAGTTGGTATCATTTTTACAGATATTTTTCTCGACGTGGACATTGTTAAACAAAAAACTTTTTTAATAAACAGTACGATAGATTTTATGTTTAAATGTGACTCGTACAAAATTATGTCTGATAGATCTCAAAAACTAGAGCTGCTAAAGAAAAAATGACGGTAGATTTGAAATCAGCGACCTCAAATTAGTAAACAACAAGCATAAAATTCCATACAACAAAAAAAAAGTATATTTTGTTCCCTTGTGTTGTATAACCACTTTATTATCAAAGTAATTAGGTATATTATCAAAGTAACATAGTGATATTGCAAGTTGGGAAGACAGCCGGCAGATATCACATCATATATTTACATTTAAATAAATGACAAACACACCCACTACCAGGATGTTCACATCGAAAACCAAATAATTTCAACACAAATGGTATAAGAAAAAATAAAGAGTCAGATTTTTAACACATATTCGAAATTTTTATTGATTGTAGAAAAAAAGTACTTTGAAAGTTCATGCCAAACAAGATCACTAATTATAATTTTAAAAATAATATTAAGATGCCTATAGTACAAAAACCAACTCAACACGTGTATAAGGAAAAACATTAGTTTTGCAAATGTCATTTAAAGTTATCGTTTGGCTGACCTTAACTCCTGTACGTTACAGTTCACGGGCGCCTCCCATCATAACAATATAGGGATTTTTACATACTACTTTATTGCATTAACATGTAGACGAGAATCTAATGCAGAAACTTTAAAATGAGTATACACCTACCTACTTTTCCTACGACTGTTGTTGTTATGACTTTTTTACATAATAGCAATGAACTTTATAAACGTTACAATTATGATTCTTATAAATAACTAGCTGTTTTCTCGCGACTTCGCGCTCATAAGTGTATAGACAGTAGGTGAAGGAAATTTTAAAATCGGTCCAATAGTTTCGGAGCCTATTCAATGCAAGCAAACAAACATACAAATAAGAAATTTTTCCTCTTTATAATATTATATAAATGAAAAATATTTTATTCAAGTAACACACACTTTTCATTCGTCCAAAAATTTTTCTCTACATGATTATTATTTTTTTTTTACAGGTAAATCAATTACAATTTGTGGAACTTTATTGAATATACCATTTCATTTACCCAGAAATTATTTTTTGGTTTTTTGAAGTCTTGAGCTTGGAACGTCAAGATTATTAAGAAAACATTTTTTATAGTATAGTAATAAAGACAATGCATTTACAATACTCATTTCTATGGTTAGTAAACACCAACACCTAAAAACATGTTTGAAAGATTTAACTACTCGGATAAAACAACGTTGTGATTTGCGAGAATTCACATTCTCAAATAATATAAAAGTTTTTTATACCAACGAAATTCAGTTCTCACTATACCAGAATAAGAGTCGTTTTTCTGTTCTCATGGTGCGATCATTGTTGTTAATAGCAAAGGCGTCTGTAGTAGGATTCCGTCTGCGGGTGTGTGTATGAGCGGGTCGAGGAGGTCCCGCGGGACGGAAGGAAGTGTGGCCGGAGCGGCGCCACCTGGGACCGCGGGGGACGAGCCGGGGGGTCGGGGGGGCCGAGCATTAGACAAGTAACAGACACAGCCAATAGACGATATCGAAATCACGCTACAACTTCCAGTTCCCTCGCGTAAACAACAAACACTTTTAGTAATTACGTATTGAAGCGATGGTCTCAGGTCGCGGGTCACCAGCGATAATATCTAAATGCCTAATGGCAGTAATGGCTGCTGGGCCTGTGACGAATGTATCGACCCCCCACCGCCTCACCACTATGTGATAATTCCAAACGCTGCGGCCGCGCCACCTGGGATCTGCCAGGGTCGGATTCCAGTAAAAACCAGATAATTCTGTAACGCATATTCTAAAGGCAAATTAATATAATATTCAACAAAGTGTGTAACCTTGATATTACTTGGTATTTTAGTAGTGAAAATTTAAGATCTTTAAATCTGAGTGTAAATAAGATTTTGAGCATTTTCCGGTGTCCCTGACTAGAGTTAGTTAATTGAGTAAAATGTTTCCTAAACGTAAGCTGGTTTCAAGACGTCACCATCTCTACGATTCCGGTTTAGAGTCACGGTCGGATCTATATAGAAAATAAACTTTTCAATATTGTTTATTGTTTGGTCTAGATATTGTAGTGCTTCGTTGTTTCAAGTACTTCATTTACTTTTACCTACCTACTTATCTTAAATGTTGCACTTATATGTATTTATTAATATCTTCAAATGCAGATACAAATCTATCATGATTTTTACTAAAAAAAAAATTATTAAATCTAGTATTTGCAACCAAAAAGCAATCATAATTTCTGTCTAAATGATCCAGCCAATGGGGTATGAATGTGAGATTAAATGCGCAAACAATTCCAGATTCTCAATGCAGTCGCGTAAAGGCACGCGTTGCGGTGTCGAACTTGTCCTGTCTCCCGCCTCGCCGCAAGGAATTCCTGAACGCACCCGCTTCGATACAAGCGTCGGCATTTAATTAGCCTCGTGCCTCCCGAAAGGCCATCCCTGCCAACATAACAGGCATTGTTGTCCGCTTAAGTTGACAGGATAACTTGTAAATGTTTGGCATTATCAAAACCGATGTTGTTAGACTAAAATTGATATTAAGATATTTCTAGTCAACTCTGTCCATTTTCGGATGTTAGGAAAATACTTTGTTAAAACTAAATCTGTGTATTTAAAATAAAACTGACTTTAGGTACGTTTTTTTTATTTATGTGCCATATTATGAAACTTTATTTAAGAATCTCATCATTTTTTATAGATTAACAGACTGTACCTTTCGTGAGGCCATACTCTACTTATAAGTGATCACTTGCAATTTTACAAATATTTAAACTTTCGATAAAGACGAAAATCCCATTTCAGGGATTTTTAAGCATTTGTTATTAAAAATATTGATCACTTTCTTCTAAAAATAAGATGTAAAATAAATTTTCAATGGTTTTGAACTTTTATTGGAATTCCGCTTCTATTTTCAAATAAATTAACAAATTAATGTGAATAATAAACTGTTTAAAAGCTTGTAGTTGAATGCGGTCCCTGCGACGAAGTCCCATGGGAGCAAGCCCGCGCGCCCAACTTCGGGCACAGCGGCACGGCCCCCCGCGCGCCCCCCTCGCCCCCGTTGAGAATACATTTGCGCAACACTCGCGCTAGCCTAACAACGACTGTGACAACGAACCGCTCGACGGGAAAAATTACTCATTTTCCAATACCGAAGCATAGTTGTAAGCCTTTGTTATTAAACAATGAGTCCTTCGCGTTTATATCTTCGTCTGAAGCTGCCGATATCTATAAAATATTCACAATAAAACACGAACAATATGTTATTTGACTATAACCGAGGGTGCGTAAGGAAAAGGAGGCATTGTCTGTTGTGTCCCATTATGTAGTTTTATTAAATTAAGTGTCCGATTGTTTGCCAGATAGCTGGCAGTTTTATTATTTCTCGTCCTTATGTTTCTAAAAATAAAAACCTTTTAAGGCGTGTTTTCAACATAGAACCTAATCCCAGCCTTCTTACATATCATAACATAGCCCTAGAATCTACTCTTAGTTTCTTTTTAATTTGTAAACATATTTTTTTCTCAATAATAATAAACTTTATTTATACCTGACAAGTAATTCAAATGTACTATTCAACTGATTTATGACTTTATTTCATCGACTGAATTGATGCTCGAACCTGTAAAATCGATTTATTATATTTAAAAAAATTAAATATAATAAATCGATTTTACAATGCTACAAAAAAAAGTAAAATATAATCACTCAATAAATAACTTCATTAAGACAGTAAAAACAGCATATTTCTCTTGCAGAAAAAAATAAAACTTAACGATATCTGGTGGGTATAAACCTTAAGACCGCTAGGCACTGGTTCAAAAAGTCCGGGAAGCTATAAAAGATAAAGTGTCGTCGGAGCGAGCCGATGATAGGCGACGCTGAGCCAATTTATTTATAATCTCTGGTGCAGAATTGGCTACGAATTAGCATGTAAATATTTGAGGTCCAAGGAGTCCCGTGTAGATTTATCGCGAACGACAGGGAGATAAGCGAGGACAGGGTCGTAAAGCAACGCTGGGCGAGCTGGTAAAGCGAGTCACCCTTTGACGAAGTTGTAAAAAGGGCATTAAAACGCAGTAAAAACGCATCGCCTACGAGCCTCGAGACTGCTTGCTATTTTACTGACTGCCTTATGAATTTCAATGAAGACACTGTAATGACTCCTTTCTTGCTACGTCATTAATTAGGTCACCTCTTGTAAATAGGTATAAATTTCAAAAGAAGACTTACAATATTCTTTAGTTTGATTGGAACTTACCACTTCATAAAAAAGTAAAATAGTGTCTCTATAATATTGACGTTCGATAGAATTATTGCTTTAACAAAAACATACAAATACTTTGATTTAACAATTTCTTTAAATTTTTTAAATAGTGACTCGACTAGACAAGGACTTATCTGAATCCCCGGTTAAAATAATACATCTTCAAAACATTACATTACAAAGTTTTCCAAAACGCGACGGTTTGTCGCTGTGTCTAATAACAATTCATATTTCTACTGATGTCACCCATTTTTATAGACATTTTTATTACTAATCGTATTTTGAAGAATAATAAAATTAAGACCATTTGAAAATGAATTGATGTGGATTAGAATTTCTTTAATTCATATTACTAACAAAATCAAAGGTTTAGTATTACCATCTCTTGCTCCAAATCAACACGGAAAAGTAATCTTTGCTGAATTTTCTAAAGGTTGGGTCGTTCTGGTTCTATCATTTTTTTGTAATAAAAAAGATAAAAAATAATTAATAATGTTATTAGTAGAAAACTCACCAGCAGTATCATTAGCATCGTCATCTTCGGCAGGCTTATCCCCATTCGTTGGTGTATCCTCACCGTCTAGAATTATAATAAAATAGATAGTAAGTATTATGAATAAATAAATTAGTAGTTCTATAAAATTTAATGTGTGGCAAATAAATCCTAACCTGGAAAATGACCTTAATACGCAATAGTTTTAAAATATTTCTAACAATATAGAAGACAAAATATAATATTCCACTTATCAGAGTTACTTTTTTAAGGGTTTAAATTTAAGTTTATCTTCACGTTTAACGGTTACACAAAACTTCTTAAATCAGGATATTATTTTATCAATATCCGTGTTATTACTGTTATGTATCAGACACGACTGATATAATAGGTATTCTGTAACTAAAATTACCTTGTCCAATATAAATAAATAAATAATTATAATTATTTGATCAATTTTGTATTCATAATGCTATACTAAAAAAATTTCTCAATGAAAAATGTTTAAAAAATCCACTTTGCCCCTGGCACTGTGAGATGGGATTCGAACTCATGACCTTTCGCAATCCAGGTTACTGCTCTAACCACTGTGCTACCCAGGACCTAATAGGACTGACGAATCTTACGAGCACTTATTACTCTTTCGCTACCTCAGAGCATATTTTCATCAATGTTCAGGTAATCCACCAAAACAGCCGCCAAAATGACACCTACGTTTTAGTAACAATAAAATATTAAGATAACGGTTTACTACTGTTACTATTTTAAAATGGTAGGTAAGTAGATGCATTCTATCGAAAAATTATCGTGTTTGGTTTAGTCGAATAAAATATTAATAAAAAAAAAACAAATTTTATTGAGATGCATAGACTTTTACTTGTGGGGCAAACTATGTATTTTGTAAATATTACATTGCTTCATTTTTTATCTTGAACATTTGACATAAAAATCTAACCACTATAATGGTCTGTGCAAATAAAAAAGCCATTAAATCAGAATAATAATGCTTAAATATATCTCAACGTCTTCAGGGGCCCCATATGAAAAGGAAGTAAAAGTTATATGGTAATGTATGTATCTAACTCGAGTTTGTCCCCTTCCCTTATAACAATAATACACTCGAGAACATACGTCGCCGAGATGACAGGAAGCTTATAAAACCGACTCTTCCCATTTGAAATACTCATAGGATTCGGGTTTTTAAAATTGAGCATACATTATAATTTATAAACGAGCCATTACACTTTTTCTATTCATAAACGCTACTAAAACTTTGAAATATAAAATAAATGGATACCAGAAAACTAACGATTGATTTTATTTATAAATCTCTTAGCTAATGGTTCTAAATCTTACAATTGAAATACTCATCATACAAACTTTTATTCAAAAGACTAGTTTCCAAAAACTTAATATTGATCAACTTTTATTATTACCTTCATTTGTTTCCCCTGGGTTGGATTCATCGACGTTGTTCTCTTTTTCCTTCTCTTGGGAGTTTTCATCTTGTTCTTCGTTAGGGTCGTCGGTGTCCACCATGTCGGTTGCGTCACGAGGTGTATTTTCATTCCATTCCTCCTCCTCAGCTGTGAAAAGAACAATAATTTAGAAAGGTATGCCATTTGAGGGTTATAATTGCATCCGTACCTATTCCAAACTAGCTAGCAACTTCGTTAAACAGAAAGTATATTGACTAAGTTAACCCGGGTCATCGTGACTAAGTTATGTTAAAGGATTGCTCAACGCCCATACATTGGTGGCCCCAGAGCCAAAAAATATAGGAAAATACTTATTTTATTGTGTGTCACTAACTAATTCTCATTATATATTAATTATACCGCGACCGAGTTTTAGAACTTATAATCACGCAAAATATAATTCATTTTGAGGTTATAATTTGTTTGGAAAACCACCAAGATATGGCACTTTAAGTACATGATATGATATTGATGTCTATATTGTCGAAGCAAAAAACCTCAACTTTAAGAAACTCGGTTTTTCGTTGTGATTTGTAAAAGTTTCTAAGTCGATCTATAGAAAAATAAATCATTCTAATAGTTAAATAATATACCTATTGATAAGCTTAAAATTAAAAACCTATAGCTTTTTGATGGTTTACATCAAAAGATGGCGCCTTAAATACATAAATGACATGATGTTAATATGTTTACGAGAAATATAAAGGTAATGTAATTGAAACAAATTAGTTTTTAGGATATGTCGTATGAATATCAATCTTTCTGAATAAATAAGAGTGAATTATCAACAGTTAATGAATTTAGTTTGTATAATATTCAGTTTTTATGTCCTTATGTTTTAGTTGGAAAATGAGCGATGAGATGGCAGCAAGAGATGGCGCTTTTAGTAAATTTAAGTTTATTTTCGGTCAATTTAATTTAATGTTTTTGTGTTCGATGATTTAAAGGTTATCTAATAAAAAAAAATGATCTTCTTGATCTGACGTGTAAATTACATTCATCTGACTCAATAGAATTTAAGTATATTGAATGTGAATATTTGCGAATAAAAATGTTACTATTAAAGTACTTTTAAATATTAAAATTAAGGTTTATATAATATAGATTTTGGATCGCAGCTTGTCCGTGTCAAATAAATATTTGATTCCATTTTAATAAATAAATTAGTAATTATTATTGAAGTATTAATATTTAATGGTATTGGGGCCATTTTCGGCGATGTCCTTTTCGACATAAAACCAAATTTTCATATCATATATAATAAGCAAAGCTTTTCAGGGTTTCGTAGTAATCAAGAAACCCTTATAGTTTCGCCATGAACGCATGTCTGTCCGTCCGTCCACAGTTTTACTCAAAAATTATTGGTTACAGAAAATTATAATTAGTCATGATTATATATACACGTTAATTACGCCGATAAAGAGGTAAAATTTCGAAAAAAATAATTTGGGTCCCTCCCTAATAAAGTATGTATGATAATTTTTTTCGTCTTCCCCATGGTGTGAAGGCTTGCAGGCTTAACACCATTCATAAAAATATGTCCTTTAAACGTTTTACACGCCATTTATTTTTCGGCATGAAAAGCAATGTCTGAAATCACCCTGAAACCATAGAAAATTATTTCAAGAACAAAAAAGAAACTGCATTTGAACATTTCATAGTGATATAATACAACACATTTATTAAAAAATATAGTTATTATACTATGCTGTTTACGAAATTACTGCTGTTACTGTACAACACGAGGGAAATAAAAAAATATAAAGATCATTTGGAGATTGTACTATCTAGCTAGATCCTAGTATAATAACATTTGCCGACATAACGTTAAACTTAGGCTAAGCACGCACTACGAAATTTTAGTTGAACGGGAAAAAATAGTGCAGTTTCATGCCACACGAATCACAAATATTATAATACATTTTATACACCACTTCACCTTCATAACTCTTGTTGTTTTGGATATCTAGATGATGACAATTATGTAGAAAAGCAACGATTTCCCTATTAATTAATAGTTTTCATAAAACGTTTCATAATTTACTAAACTGTGCTAACTTTCTGGTATACTACTAAACAGTAGCCTAGCATAAAGAATCAATTTATATTAAAAATACCATTGAGTATCAAGAATTAAAATGAGTCTATACAGACAGCTAAATTAATTTTTATATCTAAAATATACGTGTTTTAATGTTTAAACATCATAATTTAATAAATACATGTCAATGATTAATTCTAATTGGTACCGATGCGATGGCGCCATCTCTATTATTTTTGTTGTTTCCCCTTTGAGACCCCATGCCCTAATAACGTAATATCTACCTATATAAATACTACCTAAATAAAAATTCATTTAGTTTTCAGTGTAAAAGCAATATCGCACTTCAAAATTTCCAATGCTGCGGTAATATCAAGTGTGTAGTAAAAAGTGTGGAAAACGCAAAAATCACATAGTGCGTGCTTAGCTTAAAGGATGTTCGCAACTACCGGTAAAGGTAAATCCTTTATGCATGCTATCTACAATTATGGTAATATTATTGTGTTTTCTCCAATTCCAGTAAGCGGTCGGGGTGAAAGTAATGATAATAGTGAAACAAACAAAATTATCGTCACTTAAATTGAACCTTTTGTGCTCATGTTAACAAACCAATTTTAACATTATTTCTTTATTTTGATGCATTTATTAGACGCTTTATTATCTAAATTCTAAAGAATGCTTCTAAAATAAATACGTAAATAAATGTGTGTTAGTCGAGAAGCACGCTATAGTTAGCACGTTCAATCTGCGATGCCGAAGTTAAGCAACTTTCGAAAAGTGCGGCCATAGGATGGGTGACCATAAAAATATTATCTTGAGATCCTCTGTGTTTCAGAAAACACGTTAAGTCGTTGATCTCGGCATCTATAGTTTTTAAGACTGACCAAAACACACTGGACCCGCGTATCATGGTCCATCCTCCCTATAAGATTCCATTTATAGGGTAGGTAGGGTACCCAGCAGTGGTGAAATTAAAAGGGTGGTGATGATGAATCGAGTTCCCGCAATTTCGGGATTTTTATATTCTAATGTTAATGACCACAAAAGTTTGAAACAACACAGAGTTAATAGATTTGTCATTTACGTATAATAGTATAATAATTAGTGTGTAGCTTCAAATCTAGTAACCATGACTTCTACTAATTACCTATATTAAACCCTCAGACCAAATAAAAATTATATGCATTAAAATTTTAATATGCTAACTTGATGATAAATTAAATATTATATATTTTAGTTTTAAATTTCCCATTCTTGCATGTTTATTAATTTTTATCTCCAACATTTCAATGAAATACTAACTTTGGTTTTGCTTTATCACAGTGAAGCAACAGGTTTTGTGTAATCCAAATTAAAATATATAATAATTATACCCATCTTAAAGTTTTACCAGGAACTACAACCAACAAGTTTATTAAAAAATCTCCTACAAAATATCTTTAATAACATTTTTCTCTTACAAAACTTCGTAGAGAAAGAAAAACCAATGCGAAAACACATTACACTCGCACACCCACAAAGCAATAATTTTAACGTTACGACGTTGTTGGTAACTAGAAACTGGGCTTAAAGTAATCGAGTTGCAATAAGTACATCAAGTTAATGAACACAAGTGGAGGGCAGGGGGTGGGGGCTAATTAGGATAATGTAAGCGTTGGCTGTGTCAACATGGAAAACGCGAGTTAGGTGCCCCCGTCGGGAACCAGAATCAGTGGTCAACGTGAAAATATGCAGCAGATATAGTTTCTTTTTTAAGATTCCGTACCCAAAGGGTAAAATGTTTGTCTACCTGTACGTCTGTCATCAGGTTGTATTTCATGAACCATGAAAGTTAGACAGTTGATAATTTCACAGATGACGTATTTCTGTTGCCGCTTCAACAAAAAATACTAAAAACCAGAATAAAATAAATATTTTAGGGGGTTCACATACAACAGACGTTATTATTTTGCTGTCACCAGGCTGTATCTCATACACCGTGATAGTTGGTCAGTTGAGATTTTTACAGATGATGCACTAAAAACAATATAAACTAAATATTAAAAGTATTACCCATACAACAAACGTGATTTTTATGCTCGTTTTCGGTACGGAACGTTTTCGTGCTCGAGTCTGGGTCGCACTTGACCGGCTTTTTTATAATATAACGATTTTTAAAGAAATTTATCAAAGGTTTGATTAAATTACATTAAATTCATATCAAAGTCAAGAAAATTTACTTAAAATACAGTGTTTGCTGCCAAATGTCAAAATAGACAGCGGAAAATGCACGCGCTACTTGATGACGTTTTTACTCTAATCGAATATTACACGCTAAATATACATAGTACTATCTTAAGGTTGTATTAAAATTTGTAATTAGTATGATCTGTAATAACTCTTCATAATATACACATAATAGTACATTGGCGCGGGAGTTCGAACCGCTACAGTTAGTGACCCAAAAATGAGCGTTGAAAACTCGAGGTCTACTTTGGAAGTAAATTAGAAAGTAAGAAAAGAAAATGTTATATGTATAGTTCTTCAAAATTTAATATTTGTAGAACTTCAAAATTATTCTGATTCCAATGTAATCAGTTTGTAATTTTAATGAATGTATGTATAATAAGTGAGCTTTGCTTGGTCATTGGTTTTGTGACATAATTAGAGCGGTAGGCGCGGGTGGCGTGATTGAGCCCTGTTCGCGGCCGCACCTACGGTACGGTCCCGAAGTGCCGTAACGTGGCCAGATTATTTAAATCCATACATAAACCTATTACTTTATATTAGAGTTCGTTAAATAAATAAATTAATACAAGCCAACATCACATAATTGTTCAAATTCCAAGACATATAGGTACATAATAAATCACATACTTTGTTCAAATTCCAAGACAAATAGGTGTATTGACACTTTATTGCTCACACATAATTATTGATATTAAATTAACAATTTTGGTTCTAATGGTGGGCAAAGTTGGCCTCATCGCTAAAAGCAATCTTTTGATTCTTTGATAATTTGAATATAAAGACCGTTGGTGGTGTACCGGTAAGTAGTTTCTAGCTCTGTAAGTAATATGGAAACCTCAAGGAACGAAGGAACCAGAAATTAGAAAAGTTAATTTTCTGCATCGGCCGATTCCCGGTCTGATTTCCGGTCTAGGAAATCGGATCAGAGACCTGAGTCCACAGAGACGACACCTTGAAAATTGTGTAGGAGTTCGTCACTACTATCGTAGAGCATGTCCATAATACATTTATAATATTTTTAAAGGATCACTTATTTTTTAGCGATTTCAAAATAAAAGATAATAATTACTGTTATTTTCTCCAACGATAATTTAAAAGTGAAATTATATCGGCGATCACTAATAACGAAAGCATATTTTTTTACAATAGCTCAAAAGGTAATAAAGGTTTTATTTGATTGATCTTTTAGGCTGCGACAGCATTATACTCGACGCTGCGTTCATCGTTAATTTCATTACAGAATAGCAAAGTAATTTGTTTACAAAAACTAAATAAAAATCTAAGGTACTTAGGTGAATCAACATTTATTGTAATGACGGACTAAGTTTGCTAGAGAAAATAAACATTTATTTATCCATTTTTCAATAAGAATACAAATTCTTTAAATTACTGAAGGTATGATCTAGAAAAAGTTCTACATTGTGTCTGGAGTCACCGATGAAAGAAAAAAAACAACTACTTGTCTTATTTCTTTCCAATAATTTTAAAATGAGGAAAATAATCGAGCTAGCTTCTCTACTATTAAATTTAAATAAATAACTTAAAAAGTAGAAATATACGAAGTGTTTATCAATAAAATAAAAATCACACAACATCAGTTGGGACAACTTGGTTATCCAGGAAACAAATTTAGTGATTCAATAGACATAATTAAGTTGCTTTGGTAAACTTTTGATATACTAAACAACAAAATATTTAATTCTCTCTTAAACAAAACAAAAAAAAAACCATTAAATTAATTAAGTAGACAAAAAGACTTCTAAGAAATATCGTCTCTAACGATATATTATGTAGTGCTTTTTTTAACTTAGGTAAACTATTTTTAATTATATAAGATGTTAATTATATTCTTAATAAGTGTTTTGTCCCCATTATTCGTATTTTTTTGATATATCTCTTTTGTGTATGGCATTAATAAGTTTTCCGTATTTTCATCAGGTTTTTTTTAGCCTAAATGATCAAGACCCAACACGTACTATTTGTAGTGTGTGACCGAAACTGGAAACCGAAACCGAATTTCGACAACAGTCTCAGTTTCGTACGAAACCAAAACCGAAACATCCTTGCGAGGATTATATTTTGAGGGAATAGTAAAGAAAACGTTATTATTATCAGTCAATCTTTATTTTTTATTGACAGCAAATGAAGGGTTATGTTTTTCGCATACATATATCTTTTATGTATAGGTATATTCTTTATTACCTCATAGTTCCTGAACTGCTAAGCGGATTTATATAATTGAAGTATCGTTAGTTTTGTTTTAGCTGTCGAAGTTTTCTTAGATTCAAACATGGCTGACGTACGACGCCAGATTCAGACAGGTTATACGATTATAATCTATGTTCTAATTAGTTTTTGCCCGCGACTTTGGCCCCGTGTTATAGTATACCTATAGTGTTATATAGGCCACGTGTACTTTTGGTAGCATTTCTAAAAACGCAAAATAAAATATTTCTAAAGTCCTAGTGGCGCCATCTATCGGAGGCTGCAGGTAACAATTCTTCTATCTTTTGATGTAATTTTTTTCTCAAAAGTTGATTAGATTAAATGTAATAATATTGTTTTATTAATTTGCTTGTAACAATCAACCTGTTCACTAATAGTCAGCTTTCCACCTTGGAAATTGCGGCAAGTCCCGTATGAATTTGTCTTCCCATTTTTAAGGGAGTTGGAGGACATTTCTAAAAAATCTTGATGCAAGTATTTTTCGTTTGAAACCGTAAACCAATTTTAGGTTATTTCCTTGAATCCTTGAAAACTGGCGAATCTATCACCCCCTTATTAAACAGGTTGGGAGCAAATTTCCAACAGAATATATTTTTCAATAGTAACAAATAGTTTGCATACCAATTAATGGCTTTCTTAAACACTGCAGATAATCTAATACAAAATTTAACCCCCTCTTCAAAGAAATGGGGACAGATTTATCTTTCTGCCTTGAAAATTGTGGGATTCTCCCACCCCTATTTTGGGGGCATAGGGTAAGAGAAAAAAAGAAAAGGTAGCCTGTGTCACTCTCCAGCCCTTCGACTATCACCGAAAAATCACACTAATCCGTTACTCAATTCTCATGTGAAAGGCGGCAAACAATCACACTTACAAATTTGAAATATTATTATGGATTAATATTTTGAATTAAAAGTTTAATTTTTATTTTTACTATCAACTCTCGGCTTTATCGTGTGACAAAACTAACCGAATTCAAAATTTATCTCACATAAACCCACCAAAGCTCACAACAAACAAAACAAGCGTCGAACAAAACCAACCGATCAGAGCACGAAAACTCCCGAATGCAGTTTCGGTTTCGATGACAGAACCGCTGAAACTAAAACCGAAACTGAAACTGCATCCGGCAAAACGAATTAAGAAACTAAACCGAAACCCGTTTTTGCCAAAACTTGATCGAAACCGAATTTTCGGTCAGACACTATCTGCTAAACAATAAATCGACTTAAGTAACAGGGTAATAAGAATAAGCTAATTTGGTATAAAATAAGTATTGGAAATATTGTGAAATATCTTTGGTCACCACAATTGTTTCTTGGGTTACCACGAAAGTCTCTAAGAGACCAACTACAATTCTTTTATAAATATCAAAAAGTAGGTAAAATACGAGGGTCAAACTGAAAGTTCTTAGAAAATCAAAAACTGATTACATTAGCCAGTTATTAGTTTTATTATATCTATTCAAAATATTGTCCATTCACGTCAATACACCGCTGCATGCGATGGAACCACTGGGAAAAGCACTTTGCCCACTCGTCCTTAGGGGTCTCTTCAATGGCATCGCGATACGCAGCCACCGCTTCTTCAGCATTCATAAACCGCTTTCCTTTAAGTTTTTCTTTAATTTTTGGAAATAAATAAAAATCACAAGGCGCGAGGTCGGGGCTATACGGCGGGTGACCCAGTAATTCAACGTTTGATGTCGCCAAATAGTCGATCGTTCGCTTGGCGGTGTGCGACGAGGCGTTGTCGTGGTGAAGGAGGATCCTACTGCGAGGTCGTTTCTCTCGAACTTTTTCCAAGACAAGTGGCAAACAATTGGTAGTGTACCATTCTGCAGAAACTGTTTTTTGATCCTCTAACACAATTGTTGCAAAATGACCTATCCTTCCAAAGAACGAGGCCACCATTTTTTTTCCCGCACTTCGATCTCTCTTCACTTTAGTTGGCAACTCCTCGAAAGGAAACACCCACTGAGCAGATTGTCTTTTGGTTTTAGGATCATAACAGTAAATCCAGCTTTCGTCACCTGTTAGTATGTCGAACACAGCATTTGAGTCACCTCCGTTAAATCTTTCAATCATTTTACGATACCAATCCACACGATGGAGTTTTTGAGCCTCAGTCAAATTATGAGGTATCCACCGGGCGCAAAGCTTCCTGACCGCTAAATGTTCGTGGAGGATTTTGTGCACTTGACTCATACCGATGCCTAAGCTTGTCCGAATCTGTTGATAGGTCACTCTTTTGTCAGTCTCTATCATACGCCGCACAACACAGATGTTATCTTCAGCCGTCGCCGTAGAAGGCCGTCCCTCACGTAAATCATCAGTGAGATTAGTGCGACCACGTTTAAACTCATTAAACCAGTTGTAAACAGTCGCACGAGATGGGGCTTCATCGTGAAAGGCCAATCGTAGTCTATCATAACTTTCTTGTTGACTTAAATGACATCGAAAGTCATAAAAAATCATTGCACGAAAATTTTCTCGTGTTAAATTCATGATGACGTGACACAGACAATTTTCAATTTGCCGCCAAATCGTAAAACAAATGACAAATGAATGAAATATATACTCAGTAATATTGGCAAAGAGTTATATTTTCAAATTTTAGAATTATTTTTTTATTATATTGTTTATAAGTGGCCAGTTCTAAGAACTTTCAGTTTGACCCTCGTATATCTTGGACAGTCAAAAACAAAAAAAAATAAAATTCAAACAAACTTTTACATTTTTTTACCCGACTGTAAAGAAAGGGTTATATATGTTTTTCGCGCGTATCTTGTATATGTAATATTCTTTATTAACTCATCTTCAGAACCGCTGAATGGGTTTAGATAATAAAACAATAACGTTAAAAAAACAAATACCTATGTCGGCTGTGGCGACGCCATTATATTTAATAATATTTTTTGTTTTAATAACTACATTCTGAGTATCAAATTTAAGGACCCAATACAAGGATTTCGAAAAAGTATGTCATGATTATCATTAGCGTTATACTAATAAAAATTAATACAATGATAAAGTTAAAAATATGGACTTTTCTTTCAATTTCTAACCTAGTTATTTGTAAAAATTATGACAAATGGGTTTAAAAATCATATTTTTAAAACACAGCACCGAGATCAGCAATGATAACATATGAACGATAAATAAGTGGATTTTGAACAGGTTATCTTCTGCTATGCTATTAAAACAATTTGGAAATTCAATATTTTAAACTTATTGAAAATTTTCAATGAAAAATGTATTTATTACCTTTTGAATGTTGTTTAATCTGATTGAACCTCTAGGCTTTTATTTTAGGCTTTTGAGGCTTTTGAGTTCAAGGATATAATATTACAGCATTGCTGATTGTGTATAATATTTTTTACTTTGTACGATATATGGCATTGCTGAATTTCCAAGGCAATTTTGTCATATCCCAGAGGAGCGTCCGAACGTACTCCCTAAGGAAGATCCATCGATTCATCAAAAGCAGGGCACGGGCTAAGCACAGACCTCCATGGACTATCCTTCGGACCCACCAAACTTAGCGTCGAACAAAAGGCGTAGTTTTAAATTAAATACAATAGTGATTGTATTCAATTCATTTATTAGCAGCCGGCTTCTGAATTGTGAAAAGTATAAAATCTCGACTTGACATTCTCAATAACTCAAGTTTTTTTACGTTTCCCAAGACAAAAATTCCTAGTTTTATCAAAACGCTATCAACTGATCATTAAAAAAAAACAAAATCAGTAACTAACACCTGTTTAAGTGACATTTACATATATTTTGAGACATTCTTAACTTTACTTAACTTTATATTCTATTCTTAACTTTACATTCTGAATTCAGATGTAAATCTTAATGATTGATTTCATTGTTATAACTTTAGTAGATTATAACATTTGTCGATAGTCTCCTTACTCCTATGTGCAAGTTTTACTCTTCATTTCTTTGCACTGTTTAACTGTATTTTTGTTAAGTTGCAGATATCAGTTTACGTATACTGATAAACACTGTATAGGAATCAAACAGAATATGAATCTAGAAAACAAACAAAAAAATAGAAATTGTAGAGTTACCATAAACTGTTCTTAAAGTCCGATGGAAATATTAAATTAATAATTTATATCCATTAGGTTGTATTTAAAAGAACAACATATCGACGCGTGACGTATCTTGATCAGAGAAAAAAATACTTTTATATCAAATTATGGGTTCTGATAGGCTTTGTTAAGCGTACTATTGCTAACTTACGCTTATGTCTTAGATGGCGCGCGCCCTTCTCAAGAAGCGAAGATGTTAATCCATTTGTATGACAAAATAAATCAATATTAATGTGTATCAAAATACACATTGTAAGTGCTTTAATTTGAAAAAAATCATAACCTAAAATTTTCTCTAAAAACACATAAATATTGGTAAACTTGCAAATCAATTAGACAGCAAGCTGCGTGCGTACGTGACATTCATTCTTTTCATGATTTACAAATCATGACAGAAGCTGACAATGCAATAAATTTTTAATAAAAAAATAAAAACTTTTAATAAATTACGTAAGTCAAATTTTTGGAGACTAACAAATCATTAATAATTTGATAAATATTTGAGTTTTTTTAACTTTTACTACAGATAATTGGTAAAGGTAAGCGACAGTAAATGTCATTATTTTTAGATCTCATTAAAAATTAACGTTGTGTATAGGCACATTGAATA